TGTGTCTGTCTGTGTGTGTCTGTGTCTGTCTGTGTGTGTCTGTGTCTGTCTGTGTGTGTCTGTGTCTGTCTGTGTGTGTCTGTGTCTGTCTGTCTGTCTGTCTGTCTGTCTGTCTGTCTGTCTGTGTGTCTGTCTGTGTGTCTGTCTCTGTGTGTGTGTGTGTCTGTCTGTCTGTGTGTATCTGTCTGTGTGTGTCTGTCTGTGTGTGTCTGTCTGTGTGTGTCTGTCTGTGTGTGTCTGTCTGTGTGTGTGTGTGTGGAACACCTGTTTGCCAAGGTGCTAATGATTCATTCGTATACTTTCATGCAGGGGGCGCGGGGTCCTCTGACACAGCTCGCGCCAACGAAGCTCTGTGTCAGATGGACAGGAAAACGTACCTGCAGGTCAGTTCCTGGGTGCTGGAGGCACAACTGGATTGGCCATTGGAAAACAAAGTGATCGACTGAAGATGAGCCTTGAGGCCAGATTGGTACCGGACCCCCTTGAAAGCTTCATGCTTTCGTGATACATCAAGCGGTGCTTGATAACCAAATTGATGAGTGGCTGCGCGATGGATATCTAAGTGTGTACCAGGTAGTTACAAGCTGGTCTTGTATTCGTTTACCGCGCTACCTGCGACGGGGTTAGCCCGTGCGAGTACCTGCCAGGGTGGATCTGATAAAGGCAGGGATACATTGTTTTGGGCCCGTCGTGGTCCTTCCAGTTCCGACTGTATTTTCTGCTCCGATGGTGCCGACATCCGGTTACTGCAGTCGCGATGTTTTCTTCGTTCCTGACTTCATGTCAGGTTTGATGCCAGGTTTCATTGCAGGTCCTGAATTTTTGCAGATCCGATGGAACCACCGGCTTCTCTATCTGCAGACCACGATTTCAGCTCCGAGACAAAAGCTTTACTCCGTGAAATCGAGACAGGTAAACGTACCTGTAGTGGTCGGCATGGGCACTTGAGTGCAGCTTGTGGCCACAAATCGATTTGTTTGACAACATGAGTGTAATGCAGCTTTTCGAAAGACTGCAGGGGGCAGAGGGTCTCATTTCACGGCCCCTGCCAACTCTGACAACTGTCAAAAACTGTGCCACAACAGGAACATTGGGGAGGTGCTGCTTTCTTAAACGCCCTGGCTGTCTCAGCTGTCGGTCGGCAAGCACCGCGGGGCTGCGGCATTTCAGTAAGACCTGCGAACTGTGGATGCTTGACCGTGTTAATAGGACATGCACTGCAGGGCTGCGGCATTCTGTAAGACCTGCGAACTGCAAGTGCAGTCCTCTACCGGGATTTGCAGGGCCTCATGTGGCCACCCTTTACCGTCCCTTTTCCTTTTTCCGCATGAGTCGTTTCGTAGTCATAGTTTTATCTTTTTCAATGCTCGCAGCCAGGGAGGCTTTTTCCAGCCTGAAAGGCTGCCTCCAGCTGCAGCTCCTTTACCTTCACTGCTATTATGTTTTAAGGCTACACAGCCAACCGCCCGCCCTCCTGCAGAGCTTTTGTCGGTTCCTTTTTCAGTTTCCGCTTCCCCATTGCAAACTAGGGGCCAAGCAAAGAAGCTTGTTGGCTACCCCGCAAAGCGGGGTGTGTGTGTGGAACACATGTTTGCCAAGGTGCTAATGATTCATTCGTATACTTTCATGCAGGGGGCGCGGGGTCCTCTGACACAGCTCGCGCCAACGAAGCTCTGTGTCAGATGGACAGGAAAACGTACCTGCAGGTCAGTTCCTGGGTGCTGGAGGCACAGCTGGATTGGCCATTGGAAAACAAAGTGATCGACTGAAGATGAGCCTTGAGGCCAGATTGGTACCGGACCCCCTTGAAAGCTTCATGCTTTCGTGATACATCAAGCGGTGCTTGATAACCAAATTGATGAGTGGCTGCGCGATGGATATCTAAGTGTGTCTGTCTGTCTGTGTCTGTCTGTCTGTGTCTGTCTGTCTGTGTCTGTCTGTCTGTGTCTGTCTGTCTGTGTCTGTCTGTCTGTGTCTGTCTGTCTGTGTCTGTCTCTGCTTGTCTGTGTCTGTCTGTGTCTGTCTGTCTCTGTCTGTCTCTGTCTGTCTCTGTCTGTCTCTGTCTGTCTCTGTCTGTCTCTGTCTGTCTCTGTCTGTCTCTGTCTGTCTCTGTCTGTCTGTCTGTCTCTCTGTCTGTCTGTCTGCGTGTCTGGGTGTCTGTGTGTCTGTGTGTCTGTGTGTCTGTGTGTCTGTGTGTCTGTGTGTCTGTGTGTCTGTCTGTCTGTGTGTCTGTGTGTCTGTGTGTCTGTGTGTCTGTGTGTCTGTGTGTCTGTGTGTCTGTGTGTCTGTGTGTATCTGTCTGTGTGTGTCTGTCTGTGTGTCTGTCTGTGTGTCTCTCTGTGTGTGTCTGTGTGTCTGTGTGTCTGTGTGTCTGTGTGTGTGTGTGTGTACGTGTGTGCGCTTGCAACCCGGCCTTTCATGAACGAGCCTGTACACGCAACATCAACCCCAGTGCCAATCCTGGAGACCTCCTCCTCAGCAGCCCCCTCCACGGAAGTTGGCCTAAGGAGCCGGGAACTACTAGTCGCAGCCATTCCGGAGATTTATCGTTGCTGCTCTAGCTTCTTGATCGCTGTAGCAAGTTTTTGGAGCACACAGCATCGGCGCCACTGGCACAGGCACTGTCGTGAGCACTGAGGGCCCGAGCTCCTGCAACCGAACCCAGGCCGCGGCCTCAGCCGGCAGTTGGCTTCAGGACAGTTAGATGCGGTTCGATTCTTACCGTGCACGCCTGAAGGTAACTCAAGCTCGTTTTTCACAGTCAAGCATACCCGTCTCAAGCTTCTTGTAAAGCATCTTCTTTATTGACGACGAACATATGTCGCAAGCTGGATGACTTTAGCAAAGAGCACTGAGGGTGCAGCACAGCTTTGGACCGCCCGGCCTGGCATAGCGACTGGGTCGACATGCTTGAACACTTCGCTGATCCTGATTTGGTGGCACGATCTGCATGAAGTAGCTGTTGCGAATGCGATCGCCCGCCCGTCCCCTCCTTCGTCCGCCCAATCTGCCTATTGCCAGAAGCTGCGTGTGGCTGGAGGTGAGCACGCGGCTTCGCGCAGGATCATCGCCTGTCAGCCACCAGATACGAGTGCCGGAACCGCTGCTGCGAAAAGTGACTCGTTCACCCAGTGAACATCGCAGGCCACGGGTGATGTGGTTTTGATTCCGCCCTTGAGCAGCTTGCAATAAAGTTGGTAAAGACAAAAGATGCGTTGGAATTAGTGCAGTTCCAATTGGCCCTGAGTCTTGGTGTTCTGCATTGGGTAAGGAGGTGTTGGCTGTTGATATGGATGCTAGAACTGCTTCCGCTGCGTGCTACAGCTCCCTTGTCAGGATCAGCGACGGCGAGTATGACTTAAGACTGCATGGGAATCTGCAAGCTTTGAACTGAGCACGCAGCCGTCCAGCAAAGGGTTGCAGGTCTGGGGTAGGTTGAGGTAGGGCAATTGCAGACAGTAAAACTGGGATCAGAAAGGCTCGTGCACGGTTCTTCCGTCCCGGATGTCTCGGCCTCTCCTTCTATGCATCTCCTCTGATCTATCCATGCCGTTTCGATGGTGATATCCGCAACACCTCGAACCAAAGAATCTGACTGCTCTTCAAACTGCTGTCCGAGCTTGCGCAGCAGCAGCTTACGTTGTTGAAGGTGGTCTGGAGGCTGCAGCGTATGTGATGTGCGTGGCTGGAGCCACAGATGGAAATGATTCTTGTGATCGTTGACAGTGATCCTAGCCCCGTACCTAGGAGAGAGGGCAACACGATCGCTCGGACATCCTGCAATCCTGCAAGGCCCGAAAGTTGTGGGCCACGTCGGGGATTACAGGGATGCGCCCACATAGCAACACAACTTGCGCGCAAATGTTGGATGTCTAGCCGATCGTGTTGCCAAGTTGGCAACATTCTTCAGACGCAGCAACGAGAAGCTCCCGGCATCTCCCGGCCGTGATGAAGATGGCCGGGCGCTACGACACGCAGAAGGGCACTTGGCAAGGCAATCTGCCCCATTCGCCGACAAGGCTTCCTAAACTCCCTGGAAATCTTGCACGTATCTGGGACTGTAAAGTTTTCAGGTGCTTCGCAAAATTGTTCAAAAGCTTCAGACGGCTGCTTCGTTCATCGCGGCAGCGCACCACAAAATGGCGCTTGAAGAGCTTTGTAGATAGGTTGCATGCAAGGCCTGGGATGCGAAGGAGTGCAGAGACCTAAGCGCAGCTTGTGCTGATCTAATGACGCTAGAGGCCTGCCCTTCCTAAACGATGTAGTATGCATTGCAGCTAGCAAGGACAGCAGCTTTAAGCGGACCTAGTCGAAATCATGGCACCTCACTGCGCAGATCCCTTCAGAATTGTAGACTCAGGCAGCAGCAATGCGACCCACCGCACGCAAAACCTGGCAGTCTCAAGCTGGAGCCGCCGGCCCATACCTCCATGGCAACAAGCATCCGTGCCTGCTGGGCATGGTTTCGGTTGCCGCGCTGTGGTGCCCGTGCGGCCTGCGACTGACCCTGAAAACTGGGACCAGGAGATGCAGTAACATGGAGGTCCCTGACTTGCTGCATGCGGTGACGTGTCTCGTAAAAAGGGGTTTGCGGTTGCACATCTCATTTTCCTGCTTGACTATGACTGACTGCATGCCGAGATCTTGGGGCAATGTTGGCCGACTTGGATGCAGTGAACTGATGAAGACGCTTCACTGAGGCTCCTGAGCAGTAGCCCACTCTGCGACCTGACGGCGTTGCAGGTCCAAGGCTTCATCTCATTTGTTCGGCTAAGGTTCTGTAGCTCGGTGCTCCGTGATCCGCTTGGCAAGTGTCGGAAGTTGCTCGGGCAGGTGACAAGCCATACACACTCAGGTGTTAGTGAATTGTTAGTGACCTAAATGTGACACTCTCGCGTGCTCACTTTCACCTCCACACAATCGGCGCCAAGCGCGGAACCGAAAGTTTGAGCGCCGCCCCTTCAGCCGAGACCACCGGCGCCTGGCTGCAAGCTCGACATAGGGCTAGGGAACGGAAAGCTCACCCAATGACCGGAGATTCTCGCAAAAACGAAAAGTCACGAGTTGGCCCACACTGCAGAAAATTTCTGGAGCTTCGTTGCGAAGCCGCCCACCCCTCCACATCCCGCAGACCATTCACAAGCCAGTGCGCCTGCAAAGCAGCCTCCACACACCCAGCGGCCTAGAAAGACGCGGCGGGCACAAAAAGCTGCTCCGGTGAGAGGGAGGGAGAGAGAGAGAGAGAGAGAGAGAGAGAGAGAGAGAGAGAGAGAGAGAGAGAGAGAGAGAGAGAGAGAGAGAGAGAGAGAGAGAGAGAGAGAGAGAGAGAGAGAGAGAGAGAGAGAGAGAGAGAGAGAGAGCGAGAGCGAGAGCGAGAGCGAGAGCGAGAGCGAGAGCGAGAGCGAGATCGAGAGAGAGACAGAGAGCGACAGAGACAGAGAGCGAGGGAGAGAGCCAGAGCTAGAGCTAGAGGTCATCCCAAAGCAAGAGGACGGGGCACACGTGTCGGAAGTTGGTGTGGCAAGGAGCCTCCAGAAAGACTGGGAGACTTCCCAGCTCTTTGGATCCAGCGAAGCTCATGATCCAGGGCCTGGGAAGCTGTATGGCAAATGCTATCTGCAGACTCTGGATTCGTCTGGTCACGGAACTCCAAGCTGCATGTCAATGCGATCGACAATGAATGTGAAGGCAGTGGCCAAAAGTGCTCGCTTCCATTGTCGTTTCGAGAAGCATGCGATGACCAAAACCCAAGCCGCAGAGATATTGTCGCGTTGCAGAGCGCTAGGCAACAATACCCTAGCCCTCAGAGTCTCAAAGTGGCTCATGATCAGAGAACAGAAGCCATGAAAGCTGAGGTGTGCTCAGGACATTTCGCCTTGCCATGGCCTGCCTTGCAACGAGTGCATTGGGTTCATAGAGAATGCCCTGATAAGCAGGATACCTTAGATGCTGCGATGTCCAAGTGCCTCTGTCATCCTGTGCAGGTGCAGAACTGACCCACGGCTAGCGGTTTCAGGCCGTATGTTATTGAGGTCTGAACTACACTAACTGCGCACTCACAAGGAGGCAAGAAAGGGTGGAGACAAGCTTGCAGGAAGAACGATGTGGCCTGCGAATTTACCACTGCGATTGGACATCATTAAATACGGGTACATCATGCAAAACATGTCTGCTGCCTCACACGTTGCTCAGACAGTGAACATGGGCTCAACAGTTGGAAGTGCCGAATCGTCCGAATGAAGCTTTCCTGCCTGCGAAACAGCCTCCCAAGGTGTTTTCGCTCACTCCATTGGAGGCTGTCAGAAACCTGCCTCGACAGCTTGTCGGCTGCCGTGAATGCTCCTCGTGACAGCACGATGACTTAAAGCCATGTAAGAGCTCAAGGATATCTTTCGAAGTGCTACCTTGTCGCTACCGGATGCTGTTACTGTAACCTTCGCGGCCTATCTAAATAAGGACGAGAACCGGCCATTGGCCTATCCGATGCTGTGCCGGCCTGACTTCACAGCCAGACCTCGTCGAAGGACCCGGAGGTACCACAGACGTGCCTGCAAACATGAGGCGAACAAGATCCTGTTGCGCTTCCGCTGACCGCCTAAATAGTTGTCCATGCAACGCATCCTTCGTAGGCAAACGGAAGCAGCACCAGAGTTCTTGGCAAATCTTCCCGAAAGTCTTCGATGGAAGCCCTTCACATCTTCGAGAACCTCCTGACTGCTCTCCACATCTCCAGACAACCTCAGAGCGCAGCGGCACAAGACCGTGTCTGAATCATGCTGAATACAAAGCCTAACCATAGGCGGTCAAGAACCATGCTGTCCTCTCTTTTCGAGAAGGGTACAGCTGCCCTCTGCCAAAATGTCAAGCCAAAAGATTTGTCAGGTGGTTGAATTTGCATTCTGTTCTCTCTGCTCAAAGCTCAGGAACACACATGAGCTTGGAGAACAAGGGAATGTCCTTGCCAGCGACCCGTGTCAGTTGTACAGCTTGCAGGCAGGACGCAGGGCTCAGCCACACTCTACCACGACTCACAGAGAAGGGTTGCAGCATGCTCCCACCTGCTACAATAATCCAAACGAGTATAGAAAGGTCGGCTGCCCCCATTGCAGTTCTTGGATCATTGACTTTGAATCGAATTCAAGCCTCTATCTCAGCTTGGAAACTGGAGCGTGTCCTCAAAGTCTGCGGCTGGTCGACCGAGCAAGAACCTGTCGAGGCGAACCATCAAGCGAAGTTTTTTTCATGCAGCTGAAGTAGCAAAAGCATCTCCAAAAAAGAATGCGTAGACGTATACAATTGGATTCCCATGGTCATGACAGTCACTCTCCAGGCTTCTGAACGGCTTCGGACAATCCCAAGCCCAAGCGAAGAAAAAGCGCAGAATTTCTGGGTCCAGGGCTTTGCCACGGTGCGGTACAGCGCATGTTGAGGCTGAGTGAGAATGGGCCTGGGCAGCAGGGATGTGCAGGGTCCGGCACTGGCATTTCCGGAGGTGCTCATCCTCATCTGGGCTTGCCAGGACGATCCAAACGTCAGTATACGCACATTCGTTGTCATAACAACGAACGTCGCTATAGGACCCGTTTTGAAAAAAAACAAGATATATAGGTATGCTATACAGCTCACAAAAAGAATGAAATTTATCCGGCAAAGCAGCAAAGCTAAGCCAGGATCTGTTCCCGCCCAAAAAGCTTCCATCTCGGTAGAACATGATGTGCAAGCGAAGTGGCCCGGTTTTCGTGGTCACTAGAGAAAAAGAAGAAGAGAGTGCTTAGATATATTTATTTGCTCCGTGATTTCTTCCTGAAAGGGAGAGATCCAGGAACAAATAAACAGAAATACACATTTCTACATATTTATACATATATATAACAACAATAATAACCATAATAACAATATATGAATATATAGAGACCGGGTCGCTGTGAGAGTGCGCCTTTTATAGTTTCTGAACGGCTTCTGTAATCTCAAAAATTACTATAATCCATCCCATCTGGTCTGTATAGCACGAATGGATATATTTTCATGTGGGTGAATATATGTAAATGTAATTATGCATATAAACATGCTAGCATGCATGCATTTCTACATGTGAACATACGCAGATTTCCAGTTGCATGCATATATAAATGTATCATTTTTTATGTGTAACAGCACTCGCAAATACACGTTACTAAAATTCTCGAGTTGTTCAATTACTTCAAACTACATAAAGCATCATTGGCTATGAGCGATACGACATGACAGATCACTTGGTGCCAAGCCTAACAATGCTAAGCTCAATCCTCATTATATCAAAGAGCGTAGCTCTGCAAACAGACGCATGTAACATCCTGTCTACGCTGCACCGTCCTATGAGACAACAATATGTATCAATAATGAAGGCCATGTCTTTGAATATTTTATCTTTATAAAGGAAACTTTTGTCGCAGACACAATATCACAAGCCCATAACATATGTGTACAAATATGAGCCCGATACCTTTAGGGTCTATTTAGCTAGCTCCTTTTACATACACTATCAAATGCTTAGCTAAATGATATCTAGCCATATCGTGAATTCTACAAACCGAAACCCGGAAAGTTTCACTCTGATCCGGACATATAACTTAATGCACAGTTTGTCAATTGTAATGACATTGTTAGACAGCCGTTTAAATTTCATATAGGTCTTGTGTTACTACTACTCCTAGTGCTAGTGCCACGGCTACTACTACTACTACTACTACTACTACTACTACTACTACTACTTCTACTACTTCTACTACTACTACTACTCCTACTGCTTCTGCCACGACGACTACTACTACTACTACTCCTCCTACTGCTACTGCCACGGCTTCTACTACTACGACTACTACTACTACTACTACTACTACTACTACTACTATGTAATCACCAAGAACCCTATGAAACAGATGTTAGAATCCAGAAAACCAATAATCCTACATCGTAAGTATTGACTATACTCCTGCTGGTAAGATTCCTTTTCAACACAATCTATAATCAGTAAAACTTCGATAATCCTAGTAAGCCTATGTCACTGCTAATTATACCGCCTGTGGCTTCTGTAATACTACTCCGAGCAAAGTAAGAGAACAACCCTTACAAACACCCATAATCATGTTAAGTATTGCCTGTAGCCCTGTGTTTAATCATAATAAACCCGGCCTACAACTATAAAAGCAACAATAATCATGCTCAGTATTGCCTGTAACCCTGTTGCTACTATTACCATGAAACCTTGCCTGGAACCCCTGAAAGTAAAATAATAAGACTAAGTATCACCTATAACCTGGGCACACATATGGTTTATATAGCCTATATAAAACCCTTAGCTAAATTACTTTTATTGCACATACATAACAAGCTATATTCACGCAGCAAGCAGTACATTTTATGGGAAACCTTTTCTATCTTTTAGTCGGAAGTGAGAGAGGTCCTCGACCATAATTGAAAGATGATAGACCTGCTTAATTTCTGCGATATTCCCTACACAAGATCTTCTTTAATGATAAGACAAAATGTCTCTTCTATCTGCCAAGTGAAAATGAGAGAAGTGCTCTATCGATTACTAAAAGATCAAAAACCACACGCACCTTATACGATATCTATATGTTATATGTTATATCTATATACTGTATATTATATACCATATACTTGTGTAGCGTTAACTCTGTGCGCTTGGGGTTTCTGTATGCCAAAAAAGATTTAAGCCTATAAGCCCTCGACCCTGAATTACAACAAACCTAAATTCCAAACGGTATGACATCCAAAATCAGCCCTATCGGCACTTTAAGGGCCATTTACTGGGATGACATTTCCGGCCGGAAAAGTGTCATCTCTTCGATCTTACGGACATAAGCATGACACATGTCAAGCTGGAAATCTGTCATCTTTTCCGTGTTACAGAAAGAAGCATGACACATTTCAGGCCGGAAATGTGTCATCTTTGTCCTACAAGCCTAATCATGACACATTTCAGGCTGGAAATCTGTCATCTTTTCGGTCTTACAAACATGAGCATGACACATTTCGGGCCGGAAAATGCAGTACCACATCAACTGATAGATGATATGACGAATGATAGCATGTTACTGGTAGCAAATTTGCTTTTTCAGAATCTAAGAGACAGTAAACATGAGGTTCCCTCATCACATTGTCGCTCGTCATCCTAGTTTCCTAGACATCTATGTTATTCGTAACGTTCAAAGATGGACAGAGGTTTATCTCTCCCCAATCCTTCCTTTCTTGCATTTAATTTGCTCTTTCAGAAGGAAAAGGAAATGAGGGAACGGCAAACAACAAGAAATGCCCACCTCCTTCTCCGAAGAGGGCTTGGATTGTGGACATGGAGAAAAGGTTGTTGGTATCGATTTTTTCCTGTTACTTCTCTCTACTGTATTCTCCCAGTATGTATGCCATATATGTATAAGCCTAATATAAGCCCTGCGCAAGCCTTTTAATATGCTTTTAAACAACTTAAACAAGCCTTGTATAAGCTTTATACACCTATTGGTACCAATATATGTATGTAGAATGATATCAGTTGTTGTCTTCTATCTTCGCTTTGGAAGTGCTTATGTAGAAAAGGTAGGGGAGGAGTGGATGGAGAGAGTGGAAGCGAGAAATTAAACTTTATATGATACATGCAATTTGGAGATTCATATAATCATCACAGAAGCTTTACATTAGCCGTAAGTATGCCCTATTACTATATAACCCTTCTGCAAACCTGGCATGGGGGTTTGGATGAGGCCATCTTCTGTAGGTTTTGTTTTGTCCCTCAAGGTTGGAATAAAATGAGAGAGAGGAGGAACTAATAGGAGTTCCGCGTAACACCACTATAGTGACACATATTCCGCGGAAAACGTGTCACATTCTTGGTGTTAGCACAAATGTCGTGACACATATTCCACAGAAAATGTATCATGTTTTTTGTGTTAGCACCGCTATAGTGACACATATTCCGTGGAAAATGTGTCATGTTTTTAGTTTCAGCACCGCTATAGTGACACATATTCCGCGGAAAACGTGTCATATTTTTGGTGTTAGCACAGATATCGTGATACATATTCCGCGGAAAATGTGTCATGTTTTTGGTGTTAGCACCGCTATAGTGACACATATTCCGCTGAAGATATGTCATGTTTTTGGTGTTAGCAAAGCTATAGTGACACATATTCCGAGGAAAATGTATCATGTTTTTTGTGTTAGCACCGCTATGGTGACACATATTCCGTGGAAAATGTGTCATGTTTTTGGTTTCAGTACCGCTATAGCCAGCAGATGTGTGACATCCCTAGCCCTTGTTTTCACGCGATATTTACAGGTGTTTTGCTCGACCACAGGTCACTTCCGCCAGATTTTGCCAGCAGATGTGTGAAATCCCTAGCCCTTGTTTTCACGCGATATTTACAGGTGTTTTGCTCGACCACAGGTCACTTCCGCCAGATTTTGCCAGCAGATGTGTGAAATCCATGCCCTTGTTTTCACGCAGTATTTACAGGTGTTTTCCTCGACCACAGGTCACTTCCGCCAGATTTTGCCAGCAGATGTGTGAAATCCATTGCCCTTGTTTTCACGCGGTATTTACAGGTGTTTTGCTCGACCACAGGTCACTTCCGCCAGATTTTGCCAGCAGATGTGTGAAATCCATTGCCCTTGTTTTCACGCGGTATTTACAGGTGTTTTGCTCGACCACAGGTCACTTCCGCCAGATTTTGCCAGCAGATGTGGGAAATCCATTGCCCTTGTTTTCACGCGGTATTTACAGGTGTTTTGCTCGACCACAGGTCACTTCCGCCAGATTTTGCCAGCAGATGTGTGAAATCCCTAGCCCTTGTTTTCACGCGGTATTTACAGGTGTTTTGCTCGACCACAGGTCACTTCCGCCAGATTTTGCCAGCAGATGTGTGAAATCCCTAGCCCTTGTTTTCACGCGGTATTTACAGGTGTTTTGCTCGACCACAGGTCACTTCCGCCAGATTTTGCCAGCAGATGTGTGAAATCCATTGCCCTTGTTTTCACGCGGTATTTACAGGTGTTTTGCTCGACCACAGGTCACTTGGGCAGATTTTGCCAGCAGATGTGTGAAATCCCTAGCCCTTGTTTTCACAGGTGTTTTGCTCGACCACAGGTCACTTCCGCCAGATTTTGCCAGCAGATGTGTGAAATCCCTAGCCCTTGTTTTCACGCGGTATTTACAAGTGTTTTGCTCGATCACAAGTCACTTCCGCCAGATTTTGCCAGCAGATGTGTGAAACCCCATGACCTTGTTTTAACACGGTATTTACAGTAACAAATAAGTTACAAAATCACAAATCGCAAGGGGTGTCCCCCCTAAGGTTTTGAAAGAACTCAGGTTCCGACATCACAAATCGCAAGGGATGTCACCCTAAAGGTTTTCATAACTAATATGTGCAACAATCACAAATTGCAAGGGGTGTCCCCCTAATAAGGTTGTGTAAGAACTCAGGTCCCGAAATCACAGATCCCAA